TTAAAACAAATGAGAATATGAGGGTTCAAATCGACTGCATTTGAACTGTATTTAATCTAAAACAGATACTCATAAAGGGGGATAAAAATAGGATGAACAACAACTAAAAAAACAAACCCTGAAGGATGTTTGGGGGGTTTAGCAAGGTCAGCATAGTATTAGGGTCTGTGACTGCTTCTATAATCTGATGTCAGGTGTTTGTGGCATTGGTAGACTGACTGAAAGATGAGATTAAAGAAGAAAAAAATAAGAAGTACACAAAGCTCAGAAAAGATGGGAAGGTTTTATGGTGAAGAGTAACATTTAGCAACCAGATTCTAATAAGTGCTTAAGATGACAATATAGTATACACCTGAAAAATATAGATTTGACATATTTGTCTTTAAAAACCGCCTATTGACAGTGGATTGCTCCCAGAGTGATGCAAACCATGACATTCCTTTTGCTTTGGACTCAAGTGAATCTTCAGGAGCAAAGCAACGCAGGGAGAAAACAGCTCTTCTCAGACAATAAACCTGTGAAAAGCGGTATAATAAGAGCGAATCTAAAAATGGATTCTACTTGAGGAGTAATCTACCTCTAATCTGCCGATCAGGCGGCCCTAATAGCGCTTTGTCCTTACTGTAAAGCGCTGCTTGTGCCGTCAGGCGCCAGGCAGCCATTTAGGTGCATATGGAGCTAGTTGAGTCTCCACGTAAATGGCTGATGCATTTCCAATTTTTTTTCTTCCTAATTGCCGAGGGCCATCAGCACTCGGGGCCTCCTGACGCCTTCAAATCCGCCTCCCCCCGCAGTACCGCTGGATGAACCGTGTCAAACATCTCGCCTCCTGGCCGCTAAAACAGCGGCGTTTAAAGGATGAGCAAAGCTCTGCAGTTAAAACCCCTGAGAATACGGATCAAACAATGAAAAAAAGGATTGGAGGCTTTCCGAAAAACGCCTCCATCACAGCGTTAGAAAATCTCTGTTGACAAAACGGTTACAGGGGAAATAAAAAAAAGAGCACAAAACGGAAACCGCCAAAACAATAAAAGCTATTTAGCTGGGACTCCAAACCTTTAGAGGTAAATGAAGAGTCCGGGGCGGCGGAGCTGGTCGCCAACATGTCAGCCTGCATCAATAAATAGCAAAGCCAATGCGCTCTATTGTCTGATAGCATATCAACATTTCCACCGGCAGGAAACCGACACAGCAGCTAATTAGCAGTCCTACCGCGACCCCAATCCCACCGCTGCCATTTCAGAACATCACCGCCAAAAGACAGGCCTTTCGCGAGTCCTCGGACTCACCTGGGTCTCGTTTCGCCTCAGTGTGTACCGTCTCCGGGTTCACGGTCCGGTCCCCCTGACGCGCTGCAGCGGATTCTCACCACCAGTCCCCGGCACCGGCAGGCAGCACTGACCCGCTGATTGGGCCTCTTCTAACTCTCATCCCTTCGTTGCAAACGGCGGGAGCTCTCATTGGTCAGACAGCTGCACCGTGGAACCCAGACAGACAAATGATTGGCTGCTCGTTGCCACAGCAGACCCAGACTGATATTTGATTGGTTGTTAATTTCCGCGGTGGAGAGGAGAGAAATTTGATTGGTCGGTGAAACTGTTGTTGTCTGTGTCTGGACAGAAAGCAGCGTTTACCTCAACACGAGCTAAAAACAATGTGTTGAGTGTTATATTTGGATCGCTCACCTTTTCCACCCAATATTTTTAGAATCAAACGGCTGGAAGGCTTTTTTTATGTATTTTAATTTTTAAGCTAAATGCATTTGCAATCAGTTTAACGCTAAAATCTGGATATGTTCTTAATTTGGAGTATTTACTTGGCTTCTGCGCACTAAAGCGCAGGACAAAAGATCCAACACAGACCAAACGTTAGCAGATGGGTTTGGGTAAATAAACAAGTTTTAACAAATTATGTAAAACAGCGTTTTGTGTTAACATGCTATTTATAAAATTTTTTTTTTTTTTTTTTACAATTTTGAAACTCAAATATGATAATTGTATGATTAAACGTATAATTACAAACACTAACCTCCATTTCTTGTCAAATTAAAATTACTTATAGATAATAACAAAATGGTTAGTCTTAGGATATTTCAACATTACACAAGATCGATAAATAGAATATTTAAACAAATGACAGAAATTTTTCATTTCTGTTCACTAAACATTTGGTTTGGCCTTTTACATGAATTACTCCATCATGCGGTGTGGCATCATGTTATCAGCCTGTAGCCCTGCTGAGGTGTCATTTAAACCCAGATTACGTCCATTCTTCAGGTCATCTTCATTGTCAGGTCCAGTAGCTTTAGTAGTCCAGTAGTGATCTTTGCAGGGGTGGCAGTTACAGTGGGTACTTAAAGTATCCAGCAAATTTCATTCTTTATTTCATTGCAGCCATTTGCTAAAATATATATATTATTTTTCATTAAAGTTATTGTTGAGGATTTTTGCAATTTTTTTTAAATGACCTGCCCTCTTCACTTAAAAAAAAAGCACATGGACAACCCTGTACCCGCTCCAGAGATGGAACGCCTGTTAAATGCATGTGAGAAGGTGCATAAGCCCATATCTCTTTGTGCAGGCTCAGTTTAAAAGTTGCTTATAGCTCATATATGCTTACTGTGTCTGAATGTCCACCTAAACACCTAAACCCCTTAATCCGTGCAAAGGATTCTGGGGGGCGACAGTGGCGTTGGATGTAGGAGTTTGCCCTGAAATCGAAGGATTGACAGTTGAAGCCCCGACTCCGACTTTCATTGTCGTTGTGTCCTTGGGCAAGACACTTCATCTGCATTGTCTACTGATGGTGGTCAGAGGGCCCTGTGGCGCCAGTGTAGGCAGCCCCGCTTCTGTCAGTGAGCCCCAGTGCAGCTGTGGCTACAATGTAGCTTGCCACCATCAGTGTGTGTGTGAATGGGTGAATGAATGTAGTGTAAAGTCAAGTCCCCTGACTTGAATAAAGGCGCTATATAAGTACATGCCATTTACCATATATCTGCCTCTTCTGAGGCCTCTCTTTTATTCTCATTCACCTTGTAGACACTTTTTCTCTTACGACCCTCGGCCATGTTAAAAGAACCGCTGTGAAAAAGGTGTGCTTCAATGACTGGCTGAAATCGTAGCTCACTACACATATATGCCCGAAAGTAACCAAAAAGATAGCTAACTGAGATGATCCACCTGGAAATAAAAGATCGTCCTCTGTACTTTTAATGTACACTCAGGACCCCATATTAACAGAAAAAAACAGAAATGTAAAAAATTTTTAGCAAATTTATTAAAAAATAAAATTTGAAATATCTAATGGTCATAAGTATTCAAACCCTTTGCTGTGACACTTTTTATTTAACTCGCATGCTATACATTTCTGATCCTCCTTGAGATGGTTTTGCTCCTTCATTGGAGTCCAGCTTTGTTTAATTAAGTTGACTGGACTTGATTAGGAAAGGCACACACCTGTCTATATAAGACCTTACAGCTCACAGTGCATGTCTGCGCAAACAAGAATCATGAGGTCGAAGGATCTGCCCAAGGAGCTCAGAGACGGAATTGTGCCAAGGCATAGATCTGGCCAAGGTTAATCACGAGAGTTTCTGCAGCACTCAATGTTCCTAAGAGCACGGTGGGCTCCATAATTATTAAATAGAAGAAGTTTGGAATGACCAGAACTCTTCCTAGACCTGATCTTCCAGCCACACTAGGCAATGGTAAGAGAAGAGCCTTGGATAAGGAGGTAAAGAAGACCCCAAAGATCACTGTGACTGAGCTCCAGAGATGCAGTAGGAAGATGGAAGAAAGTTCCACAAAGTCAACTATGATTGCATCCCTCCACTAGTCAGAGAATTATGGCAGAGTGAAACCTCTCTTCACTGCAATACATATTAAAGCCCGCATAGGGTATAACAAAAAATTCATGAGGTACTCCCAGGCTTTGAGATAGAAGATTCTCTGGTCTGATGGCACTAAGATTGAACTATTTTGCCGTTAATTCTAAGTGGTATGTGTGGAGAAAACCAGGCACTGCTCTTCACCTGCCCAATACAATCCCAACAGTGAAACATGCTGGTGACCGCATCATGCTATGGGGGTGTTTTTCAGCCGCAGGGACAGAACAACTGGTTGCAATTGAAGGAAAGATGAATGTGGCCAAGTACAGACTGAATAAAAACCTCTTCCAGAATACTCAGGACCTCAGACTGGGCCAGAGGTTCACCTTCCAACAAGACAATGACCCAAAGCAAACAGCTAAAATAACAAAGAAGGTGCTTGGGAAAAACTCTGTGACCATTCTTTACTGGCCCAGCCAGAGGAGAGATACTTGGACTTAACCTGACTCCGCCAAATGGATTTGCTCCGCATATCCATCTGGAAACCTTCGGTTGAGGTAATTTTGGGAAGGAGCGAAAATACTGGTTAGCTGATTGGCCTACGTTGGTGATAGACGGACCAAATAAAGATCAGATCAACGAAGCATATGACGTTCTAACAGCCAGGCTACTCTTGCTGAAACCAGTCGGGAGAAGAGCAAAAACATCTTTTCCTCTGAGAAAAGCCTCCAGAGCAGTGTTTTGCTCTTCTTTCAGTGAAGAAATACTCTGTAATTCCGATAAAACTTGCTCGATAGCCATGCTAACGCTAGTTTCATCGGCTGAAGCCGCCATGTTCTTTAGACTGAACTGTCGCGCTTCTCGTTGTGTTACACCTCAACCCGCCTCAAAGCCAACGCTGATTGGACATTCGTTTGGTGAACGGCTCCAAATTTTTTTCTACGGAGAGTCTCCAGACTGATTAGCGAGTGAAATCTTGAAAGCTTGTGAGATCAGGTTGGTCTCACAAGGCTAACTTGGACTTACCTCAATGCATGGCTCTGGCTCTGGAACCAGTCTCCTTGAGAGGGGCCGGACATTCTTCCACTCCGGAGTTGCCCCTGGTGGGAGGCGCCAAGCAGGAGTGGGCATAGTTGTTGCCCCTCATCTTGGTACCTGTATGTTGGGGTTTAGCCCGGTGAATGAGAGGGTGGCCTCCCTCTGCATAAGTGTGGGGGGACGGGTTCTAACTGTTGTTTCTGCTTATGCACAAAACAGCAGTTCAGATTACCCACCCTCTTTGAAGCTGCCCCTCCTGGGGACTCCCTTATTCTTCTGGGGGACTTCAACGCTCACATGAGCAATGATAGTAAGACCTGGGGGGGTGTGATTGGGAGGAATGGCCCACCTGACCTGAACTCGAGTGGTGTTCTGTTGGACTATTGGCTGTTGGCTTGTCTATAATGAAAACCATGTTCATGCACATGTGCTTTTTGCACCAGGACACCTGAGGCTGTAGTTCAGTGATCGACATTGTTGTTGTTTTCATCTGACCTGCTACCAGTGGCGCAAAAACCGGGTATGCAGCGCATGCAACGCATAGGGGCGCTGCACTCGAGGGGGCGTCAAAAAACCCCTCTAGAAAATAATTTTTTCTAGTTGTCATTTTCTATATTTTACAGCATAAAACAATCAATAACAGAGAGACAGCACTGATTATACACCCCTCTCATGCGCCCCCACTGATTATGCGCCCCCTTCACCTCCCCTCCTGTCGCTCTCCTTTCCCACACAGGTGGCTTGTGCACGCGCCCCTAAAAGGCGCACTCAGTCACGTTTTTTTTTTCCTTAATCTTCGACTACCACTCGTAGTGCGCACTTAACAGCAAGATGGACCGCCAGAAAAAAAACAACTATCCGGGGCGCAAATCAGAAAAAGAAAAAGGGAGAAGGATAAAGTTGTTGGCGGGATGAAAAAAAGCCTTTTAATGTGGTTGGAAGACAGTAGGTAAGTTCTGTCAGTGTATCGACAACAGGACAGGAGGGTTGTAAATATTCAGGTTAGATAAAGCTAGCCTAATACGGAGTCGTCCCATATTTGGCTATTAAATGTTGCTTCCCCTTTTGAAGCGTTAAGGAACGCGACTTGTTCCGTATTTCTAGGAATGTCTGTAACACACACATATCCACACTGGTGAAATATTAACACAGGAAAGCTAAAATGTCTTGGCCATTGCCCAGCTATGGTCCAACGCTTAGCTGCAATTTATTCACTCATATGTACATTTCTTATTATTAATTTTTTAAATTAAAGATGAGTTGTACAAGTTTATGAATCAGACACATGAATCCAGTGTCATTATAGCCCTTAGACTCGGTGACCCATGTTACCAACCTTTTTGGCAGGGG